TTGAACCATTCCTTCACACCTGAAACGTTTCGAAGAAGAAAAAGTTTCTCCCCCACATATTTCAATCCCACTCCTGCTGGGAAACAGTAAGAAAAACAAAAGAGCATCAACAGTGAGTCACGCACATGTCGTATACTAGGAAATACATAAAAATAAAAACAAAAACTGGTAGGATAAGGCGACCTGCTCTAGTACCACTATGTAACACCATAATCCCCCTCGACATTTAATAAGATAATTCAAATAAAATTTCACAATTAGAGTGTCACGCATGCTTCACCATAGTATAAATACATATACAAAAAATAGTCATATGAAAATAAGCAGTGGAAATTATCAAGTTCGGCATATAAGTATCAACATAAAAAAAATCGAACATAAGTAAAGCATAACACAAATAAATAATGAACATCTCATCCCCAATGCTACATATCATAGCGACTCTTCTAAGACCCAATGATAAAAGTTAAAGAGACATCATCGTCATCCTCTAACTCAAGCGACTACTCATGTACTTGACTATTTGTACTCCCGATGAGCACAAATATCACAACAACAAAAAGGGGGTGAAAATACATCTTACAAATGTTAACAGTGAAATTAAGCAACATCATAGTAATCATGAGTTCATAAAATACATCATTCACACCCAAAAACACAATCAAATAGATAGCAATGCAAATGGAAATGCTAATGCCACCAACTCCTCCTCAAAATGCATGTGGTACTAAGTCTATGGGATCAAAATAATGCTACTGAGTTTCCCATGCCTTTGGTTCCTCTCTGAACCGTGTCCCTCTCTGGACGTGAGACTGCCATAGTTCCTCTATGAACCAGGCCATCACTAGACCGAACTCCTATCTAACTCCAAAAGAAATGCATACATGGTCATGAACAATATAAACATGCAACATCATCAACATCATAACATCACAAAATCATAAACATCAAAACATCATAAAAAAGGTTCCACTCTTGAACCTATATGTCGCCAATCACAGGCCATCACTATAATCCTTCTAGATTACTATACTCAAATCTCCAATTAAGGTTGTCACTATAATCCCTCTGGATTACTATATTCAAATCTTCAACTAAGGTTGTCACTATAATCCCTCTGGATTACTATACTCAAATAGCCAATTATAGTCGTCGTTGTATTTCCTCTGAATTACTATACTCAAATTGCCAGTTAAGGTCGTCACTGTAATCCCTCTTGATTACTATACTAAAAAAAAAATACACTTTTAAAATAATTTGAATAATTTTTCATCATAAAGGGATAAGTTATGTTATTACCTTAAACCCATAACTCATCAAAAAATTCAAGGAACCCAAAATGGCTTAAAACTCATAATTCTGAAAAATAACTCTCGAGTACCCCAAAAGTACTCTAAAGTATCCAAATGTTCTAAGGTACAAGTTCATGGGTGATAACTCTACTAAGGACATAGCCAGCCACATTAACTCAAATTTTACTCTTTTGACTTAACAATATTCAACAAATAAAAATATTACTTAAAAGGTAACCTTATAATGTCAACAGTGCTCCAAACTCTCAACTCAAGTGTATCCTATATTCTGATTTCCAACACTAAACAACTTAAAAGAAACTCTTACAACTCTGTAATAACTCTAATCAAATAAAATAGGACTCTTAAACTCATCAGAAAGGTAATGAAATGTCACCACACTCAAAATTGCTCAATACTCTATCCCTAACTCTAAAATTATCTCACCCCAAAATAGAACCAAATATTATAGACTTGTGATAAAAATTATGAAATTCTTCAATTTGAAAGTTCTTTGAACCCTATTTTAAACGCACTTAACCACACCTCAAACGGGGTTACGAAACTCCAGTTCTATTCGTTTCAGTTCAGCCATATCGCAACAATTCCTACATAAACTCTAAAACAGACTTATTGACTTAAAAATAGCATGAAAAATTATATACTCATGATAAAATTATGAAAATCTTCAGTTTGAAAAATCATTTAATTCTCTTTCTAATGCAACTGACGAAATCCCAAAAGGACTTACGAAACTCAAGTTATGCGTGAAACATGATGACCAACATAGGACTAAAGTTGACTACGCCTCTGGTATAAAAATCAATGCACTACTATAGTTGTAGCGCCCCTAAACCCAATTTCTCTACTTCAAAAGAAATATTATTGTGTTAGTTTTCCAACGCAACTGATGATTTTCAAACTGGCTTACGAAACTTAAGTTATACCTGAAATAAAACAGTCAACCCATTTCTATGGCTACCTGCAATTTTCTACGTTTTTCACTTTATTGAACATATCCAAAACTCGACCAATTCGCTCAATTTAGTCTCAACCTCCCCAAAACAAAGAAGGTTAACCATGAATAATAGGAATTCAAATGTTTCAAGTTTATATTCTTGCCTTATCAAAAGACTGTATAGCTAAAATTATATGTTATGTATGAGATAACCTTTAACTACGGTCACAAATCGACAAATCACATATCGACTAAAAACTATGGTTATTACAAAATTGGAAAACCAAACGATCCAAACAGAGTCTTTGAATACCCGGAGGCAAAATCTCAACTCTATAGTAGCAATCAATCAGATAAGCAAAAGAATTCATACAATACCATCCTCATCAACATAAAGGTTATAAACCTACAAACAATAACACTTATAGAGACCATAGGGGATTTATCCCAAATTCCCTTTTAGGTCTCAGAATAATCATATACACAAATATTTCCATCAATCACATCAATAAGATTTTGTCCAAACCTTATTTGGTCAATTCACATTGATCGTAAGAAAAAAAGAAAAATTAGGGAAAATCATATAAACCCTAAGGCACTGATAGGAGGGTAAGGAACTCTCACTATCCTGCATGCCTAAATCACCCATAAGTAGATAATTTATCCCCCTTACTTTAGATTTCTAGCAATAATGATGACTCTAACAACCCTTTAGATTTCTCTTCTCATACATAACTTTCCTTCCCAAAAGCCCCTTTGTTCTTCTTGGCTCTTTTTCACATACTAAAAAGTTTTTTGAAAAACCTAGATTCTTCCAACTTTTAAAATTTATATGGGTTTTAACTATTTCTCAAAATTATAGTTTTTACCCAACTTATTCCCAACTTCACTCTTCTTACCTACTACTTTCCTCCATTAACACAAATGATCCAATTCTCATATTTATATATTTAAATTAAATAAATATTTAATTCAAATAATTATTTAATGAAAATTTCTATATTTTCTACTATTTCAACTTAATACAAAATAATTAAATATGTCTAATTATTTACAATAATCTCGATAATAATATTTTATTTGTCTGCTCTCAAATATCCTAACCCCGACAATTAGTAAATTATTAAAGTACCCCTATATTCTAAAAAATATCAAAATTTAAATATAAAAAATATATAACATTAACAAATAAATAAAACACTCTATTTAAAAGTTGGGGTGCTACCGTCGACACATGACAAATAATTTTTGCCATTCTTGCACACACAAACACACTTATTTATATATATATATATATATATATATATATATATATATATATATATATATATATATATATATATATATATATATATATATATATATATATATATATATATATATATATATATATATATATATATATATATATATATATATATATATATATATATATATATATATATATATATATATATATATATATATATATATATATATATATATATATATATATATATATATATATATATATATTACTCCATATCCGTTTTTTATTATAAGTCGTTTTTGACTTTTCACACAGATTAAGAAATATAATAATTATAATATGAAAAAGAAATTTTTTGAATGTTTTTATAAAATTGTCTTTTTATTAATGATATTGGAAAGATAAATTTATATAACTGAAAGGAGAGAGAGAATAATAAATATTTAAGGGTATAAAGAAAAAAATGACATTAATAATTCATTGGTATTATAAAGTGATTTATATTGTGGTATAATTTTTTTTTAAAACAATTTATAATAAAAAACAGAGGTAGTATCAATTTTATAAAAAAAAAGTTAACAAAGTATTTTATAAAATTAAATTTTATTAATGATATAGAAAAAATAAATTTAAAAATTAGGATCAGACTACTAACATATTATAGAAAAAATTTCTTTAACTTATAATATGCATGTAAAATGAAAAAATGCATATCAAGTGCTTTCCTAGTTGTTTCTTCTCCAATTGTGGATAACATTTTGACTAGTGACAGGTTAGGGTAAAAAACACATTGAATACATGCGTATTTGAATTTTGCACAACAAAACCATTTTCCACACTAAAAGGTGATGCAAAAAGATTTGAAAATCAAGAATACATAACCAATTTGGTAATGTAAAGTGTTTGGTTTATCAAACTAATTGTACTATTAAGCATACAAGAGTATAAGTTTCTTTAAAATTAAATTGTTTTATTGTAATTTTCTCAAGTTCATCTTAATTTTAAAAAACACATAATTTTCCATAAGCAACACATGGCGGCGTGTGATGAATGACAGAATGAAGCAACCCCACCACCATAACATGTGAATGTGACCATGAGAAGCCAAGACAAAAACTTGTAAACCACTCTATGTAAGGGTATTTTCGTCAATTTATATCCCTTCACAATTATTATTAAAATTAAATCAATATTTGGCAAGATAAAAAGTTTATGTAAGGGTTTTTTTATATATGAATCAATTCTTTATCGACTTATCAACAGACTTTTGATAAATAAATATTTATTATTATTATTATTATTATTATTATTATTATTATTATTATTATTATTATTATTATTATTATTATTATTATTATTATTATTATTGATTGTACACACGGTACTTCTCTAATCCTCTACCATATACTTAATATATAAACACACACAACTCATCCTCCAACTCATTCCACATTTTATAAATAACAGATCAAAAATTCCTCATAGCTCCAAAAACACAACAATGGGTAATAGCTTAAGGTGTTGTTTGGCTTGTGTTCTTCCATGTGGAGCACTAGACTTGATTCGTATAGTTCATTTAAACGGTTATGTAGAAGAGTTTTCACGTCCAATTTCAGCCGGTGAAGTCCTCAAAGCCAATCCAAATCATGTTCTAAGCAAACCTAGCTCCGAAGGCGTTGTTCGCCGGATTCTCATCCTTTCGCCGGAGACCGAGCTCAAGAGAGGAAGCATATACTTCTTGATCCCATCCTCGTCGATACCCGATAAGAAAAGGAGGGTGAGGAGAAGCGCAACGGAAAAAGATCTTGAAAATAAGAAAGAGTTCTCCTCTGATGAGAAGAATAAGAAGTGTGACGATGATTTATTATCATCGTCTCGAAAGTATTATGAGTCTAAGGAGATGAGAGGCTCGCGGCGAGATCGCCGGCATAGCCGGAGCGGGGTGTGGCAGCCTCATCTTGAAAGCATAACGGAAGACTTGTGTTAGTTTTTTGTTTTGAAAATTTGCCGGTGCCGGAATCTGGCTTCATGGAATGGAACCAAAAATGGTTCAATACTTGAGTTATTAAAATTTATAGTTAAATGACTATTTTTCACTTCTCTTTTTTCTTTCTTTTGAAATTTGTGAGTATTAATTTTGTGAATAAAAATATCAACTAGGTTTCTAGTTTAATTGATCTTTTTATTTTTGTTTTTCAGCATGGATTGATGAAATTCGTATATGCTTTGGTTCATAATTGAAAGAGTGGTGAATTGAAGAACTCAAATTTATATATATTCTTGCAATTCTATGATATTTTTTTAGTTTTATTGAATATGATATTTTAAACGCAAAAATCAATTCAAAATTTAAATTATTTAAAAATATTTAAATATTAAAAAATATTATATCACCCGGCAAAAAAAATGAATATTGTTAAATTATTCGTCAATAGTATAATTAAAATCATTACTCACAGTTTTATCTTTAAATTTTTAAGACTTATAACCACTTTATATAAAGATAAAAAAATAAAAAATAATAATATATTACTTATTTTAATATTTAATATTATATTTAAATAAATTAAGGATATATAAGCGTTCTTTTTTGTCATACTCTTTAATTTAAAATATAAATAAATGCTAGCTATAAAAGTGAATATATTTTATTCATATTTTAAATAATATATATATATATATATATATATATATATATATATATATATATATATATATATATATATATATATATATATATATATATATATATATATATATATATATATATAATATATATATATATATATATATATATATATATATATATATATATATATATATATATATATATATATATATATATATATATATATATATATATATATATATATATATATATATATATATATATATATATATATATATATATATATATATATATATATATATATATATATATATATATATATAATTGAGATCGGAATCATAGGATGGTGTATTGTTAAGAGTAAATAAAAAGTATGTTTTCTTCTGTTTAAGAGATGAAGAATTTAATTTTATTCCATTACAAAATTAAGATAAGTTTTGTTTTGTCTTTTTGCAATTAATAAAATATTATATGTACCCCTAAACAGTAACCATATATGCTGGCACCCAATTAATGATCCAAAGGTTAGATCCATATTCCAATGATTAAGATGAGTTTTCAATTTGGATATTTAATTGGAACATGTACGTTAGGCACATATGTCCCCTCAAAGAATCTATTAACTCAATAAAAAAGATGAAAAGACTTTGATATATATAAAATATCATTTCAATTACACTATAGCCATGTTTGTTTGATCATGGCCAAAAAGCTATTTAAATTTGCCACTTTTAGGTGATGAATAGTTGTAATTTGGAAAATAATAGGTCCAATACATTAGAAAAATGAAGAATAATAGTTTGTTGGTGTCAAAAGTCTATGTAAAGCTTAAACAGATAATGAACACATTAAAAAGATTAGATTATGTGATAATTAAGGCTAATAATTGTACGGGAAAGACATGAAGACGGAAATAGAAATAACTATTGTATATATTAAATGGAAGTTTGAATGGGCATCCTTTAAAATTTATATGTATTTAATATAAAATATTAAAATATTCTTAAGATAACTATATAAGGATTCTTTTGTAAGAATAAATATATAAGGATGCTTTTGTGGTGTTTAAGATAAGATAACAAATTGAATTGAAATATGAAGAATATTGACAAGATAAACATTTATTTTTATTATGAAATACGGAGAAAGTAGTTATTTGATTTGATAAAGAGTTGTGAACGATGATTGAAGATATTGTAGTTGGTGGATGTTATTTTTCGGGGATTTTTAATAGATGATAACTTCTTTACCTATTAAAGTTAAGAGATTGGGATTGCACTCTATAGTAGAGAATACCTCATTCGTTTTTATGACTTTTAGGGCCTAATCTTGGGTGTTACAAAATCATATATTGAGAGACAGTGGGACATATGGTATGAACATTGATTTTGACAGAGTTTTGGATGATCTTAGCGATTTTATTAGAAATGACATCGTCCCTCTTAAAGAACAACATGTTTTGACGAGTGTCATTTTTAGTAAAAGTGTTCAGGACCTGGATGCAAAGTTTGACATGACCACAAGACAAAAAGTAGTTTTTTTGGTTGTTTGCAAGCACTACTTGCTCAATATTTTCTGTTGATTAGGTTTTCCTTGTTTGCTGCAATGTGTGCTTTGATACATTTGAGAAACACATTATTTATTGCAAAGGAGCTTCCATGATTCAAATAATGACATGCCTTTGTTAAGGATGTCATGTTTAATATTTTTAGGTGTGCATGAGTATCTATGAAGAAAAAGGCGTTTGTGAATTTCTTGACAGACCCACAGGAAGGGAGATCGACTATTCAATCACCAGTGTTATGGTGTAATGGTGGGTATGACGTAAACATGCATGTGTACACTTGACTGTAGTGTCTCCACTGCTGGGACTAAGGACTGGAGGTTTTATTGTGGGACAGATAACTCTCAAAATCGCTTCATGTAAAGTGGTCA